CAGCAATATTTCTCACTGGGAACTGTTCTTACAAAATCGTTCAGGGGAGCTCTTTCCTCCAATAGTCGCCTCGATGTTCGTGAAGTTAAAACGGAACTGTTAGAGCGTTACCGAAATATTTTGGGATGAAGTTTTTATTGTTAGAAATAAAGTAAAAAAGGAAAATCTTGATGTTTAGTCGTAATCTGAAGAAAACGAAGCGCTTTTGACATGCAATTCCTCCTCATAGTAGTTTCAATCTTTTTAAAAACGTGTGTGAAAGATCATGGAGATAGCTCCTGTCAATTGCTATAAAGAAGGATTTGATTAGCGCTATTGTTAGGGGTTTTGTAAACATTTCGGTCTACTTAAACAAATAAATGAATAATTTTTAAACCACTCGATAGATTTTTTGAAAAAAATTAAGATTCTTCTCGTAATTCAAACTGAGAATTAGTCAGCCACTTCTTCACTTTCAGAGCCATTGCTGATGCGTGTTCTGCAACACACTGTTCTAGGAGCGGAGGTGATTCTAGAAAGTTATGCGGAAGTTTATTCTAATCACTTCACGACTGGAAATAGCCCATTCCAGCCAGTGCAGTGCAGTACAGTGCCCAACAAAAAATTCAGCATATGATACCCTTCCCTTATAACCAGAAACTCATCACGTGCTAGGCAACCACTGTCTCGTGTGAACGAAACTGAATTATTACGCCGACTTCTGGTTAAAATAGAAAATATTTATCTCTTCAAAATAATAATAATAATAATAAAAAAACATGGAAACGTCTTTAAAAACTGGCTTTGCCCAAATTTTCTCTTGCTGCCCAAAAAATCTGAGTTGCCCAAACTTTGGGGGGGCTGCAGCCCCCCTCCCCCCCCCCGGCCCGTACGCCTACGAATCTGTCCAAGGATTGAACACGTGTCGGTAATGTGTTGAGGGTACACAAATATTCAAACAATTTCAGTAGTCTATGCTTTAGCCTGCCTAGCAAACGTTTCCAAATGAATTAATGAGAGAGAGAGCTCCTTCATTCCTCTTTTCTGCTCTCGCTCAGACTTTCTTGACCACCTCGCGCAGAAACCATTGCCGCAGGCAGGTCACTTATTCCTGCTTCAAAGAACTGATTTTATTCTTCCGTCAAACCATCAAAACATGTCAAGAAACTCTATTTGATTGGTTAGTAATACAGAGTTATTAGTCTGGGTCACAAGACAATACTTCATTGTTCATTCGCAAAGCCATTCCCTTGATCGTCAACAACTAGCCCGAAATTTTTGAAAAGTAACCTTGTTTCCGACCTTTTCCATGGATATAAAGACCTTGCTGGACAATCTTCATGATGAAGTATCCTGTTCTGTGTGCATGTGCGCATTCACTGATCCAAAGCAGTTGCCTCGTTTACACAGTTTCTGTCTTCATTGCCTAAACGGAATTCAACGTACGAGCGGCGTCTGTGGTAAAATTACATGCCCCGAGTGCAAAAGACAGTTTCAAATCCCTGGAAGTGGAGATCCAAGCGAACTTCCCACCAATTTTCGTATTAACGATTTGTTAGATGCCTTGGCAATAAAAGAGTGCAGTACAGCTAACGTGAAATGTGGAAACTGCGACAAGCGGAGCTAAGTAAACATGACCACGTAATTTACGGTGCAGCAAAAATCCAAACTTCAAGAAAGACAAATTAACCTACCTGTCAACAAACTTTAATTTCGCGTCTTCACCCGCAGTAAGAAGGCTGAAACTTCGTCATATGAAAGAATGCTAATCAGTAAATCACGATATCTTTCAGTATTAAACGTATTTTTTTTCTTGACGAAATATTTTATCATTTTCGGAAAGGACGCGGACCAAGGGCATCGGGGACTTCCGCGGACCAAGGACCACATACTGTATATTGAATTGACTAGATCCAAACAAAGCAATTAATTGAGATAATTTTCTCTTACATTGTAATCTCCTATTATTACTAAATAAATTTGCAAATACTTCATATCTAGAAATATTATACTAATTAATATTTACATACTTTTTTGAAAGCGTGATTTTTGAATGGGTTTTAACCTGTTCAATAGCGAGGACAGCCTGAGTTGTCAATTTTGTAAGTAAACGGCTTATTTTTACCTACCTTTTTTCAGTAGTAACAGATGTACATATTTCTCAAAAAGCAAAATACTATTCCCTGTAAATACCTCAAGTGGATTATTTTTTGTCTTATATAGCCTGGTTTTCACTTGCGCATGAGCATAAGGCTTAGTATAAATTAAATACAAAGCTATACTAGAAATACGTGAATCGCAGGACCTCGCGAGGGACTTCCGGGGAACGGCAAGAAGTTGAAATGGAAATAAGTCAATAGTAAAGAAAATTTATAAATCTAAAAACTTTGGCTATATAAAAAAACAAAACAACTGCAATAACTAAAAAGAAAACTAAAGAAAAAGGAATAAAAGAAAAGAAGAAGAGAAAAAGAAAATGGGTACAGCCCGTAATCGAGGAGGCCAGTTCAAAGGGCCGGGCCATAGCTTTTCCACTAGGCCACCTGGAACACACTGTGAAAACCTATGAAAATATGTGATAAAAACCTTTCCCCTAGAACTTCTGCCAGTGCGACCTGTTCAAAGTTGATCGAGCCCTATTATTTCAAAGACATTTTTCAGAAGAATGACTGTTGTTTTGACAGTGAAACCCCAACGTAAACGAATTTCATCGCATTTAAAGAGTGGCAGCCCAACTAAGTCGATACGGTATAAACTCGTGCGGCGAAGTGAAATCCTTGTATGTCCGTTCCGCCTCTTGCCTCTTTCGTTCCTTAGCTTCAGTTGTTCTAATGTCTTTTCTCATATTAACATCTTTAAGGCGATTAATATTATGTAATAACATGCTTCACATCAACATTGTATTTTGAACAGAAGCTCTTGATGGAGTCTCCATCGTTTATGACACTGACAGAATAATTCCTCATGCAAGTCCCTCAAACATTTTCTCGGGAGATAGTCATCCGGTGTCCTGCCTGTCGATTCCGTCTGAAAGACATCCATGAAATGTCCCCGATTGTTTGGGTCTGGTACAGGTTGCGGAATTCTTTCTGTCTCTGGTCCCATCCATCTATTGTTAGAACACCAAGAACAGAGATTGGAGGTCTCCTCTTTGCAGGCATGCACCACGACAGAATTTCATTAAGAGCTCTCCACGGATGAAGTGGTCTTCCATAAACGATTCGATCTTTCTGAGGTATGCTGCACCAGGGAATAAGAACAGTTCCTCAGGAAACTCACTCACTTTACTCTTAATGTAGTCTTTAAGAACAGGGGCGTCATCAATCCTCTCGGCAACCTGACTGCATACGTATACAAGGCATTTTTCTTCATCCGCTTCCTTTCGTATTCTTTTATTTATTTTATTTTATTTTATTATTTTGCTACACACAATGAATTACAAGCAGAATAAAAACGATAATAAATAGGTTAATTAACATTAAATTTAAAATTTGTGCATTACTTGGGAGGAGTGACTGTGGCGGGGAAATCTCCGAGAAGTCGAGCTTATGAGGAATAGAGATTTCCCCCCACGGGCAATTTAAATACTAGGCGGCATTTTAAGAAATAAAGAAAAAAGTCGTTTATTTAAGTATATAAGTGTGTTCAGAGGAAAATATAGATATGAGGTGTTAAGGTATTTAGGTTGCATTCTGTCTGATCCTTTATATGACCGAAGTGACATTCTCTTGATTTCCTCTTCTGAAAGATCTTCAAATCTCCTATACATTTCGCACTCTAGAGTTGCACCATCCACAAGAGCATCAGAAATAGCACCGTTTGTCCGTTCGGCTTCAGCTTAATTGCCCGCTGTCGCCCCTCGAAAGATGGAGTCAGTGGAGAATGTTCAAGAGTCGGTAAAGGGAGGCTTCCAAGAGGCTGCCAAAGAAGCGCTGGGGACGAATCAGTGACACTAAACTAATCACTTGTTGATTATACCATGTATATATTTCTTACTTCTGTTGTTTTTGTTTGTAATGACAGTGTACCACCACGACGCCCTTAAAAAGGCGTCGAACATTCTTTTAAAAGAAGTGAATAGCAGGGGCGGATCCAGGATTTTTTTTAGGAGGGGGTGCACTCGTCTGTTGCTCTACTTCAACACCAATAAACCACATAGTTTTTTTTTTTTTGCAGAATACCAGTTGTATTAGAAAACCGCAGGTCAACTCAGGAAGGGGGGGGGGGGGGCGCACCCCATACACCCTCCCCCTAGATCCGCCTCTGTATAGTCACTCATGAGAACTGCGACACAGTTTTGAATTATTGCCACTGAAATGACAGGACACAGGATTCTTCCCTCTCTCTTCGTTGATCTAAGTGATAAACCGTTGTTTCTAAAAAAGCCATTTATATATAGGCGCCTTAAAGGCCTGGTCAACAAAACCAAGAAACAAATAAACACAAAAAAACCGCTGAAAATAAGCTTAAAAGAGAAATCTAATGTACATTTCACACTTTTAATAGGCAAAGAATAAATTCTGATAAAACATCATATAATTGTTGCTGAATGCATATGAATGATTTTAAAATTAGTTGGGTAGCCTGATTGGGTAACCTGATTGGGTAGCCTGATTGGGTAGCCTGACTTAGCCCAGTAAAGTGGAACGGCCCGCCTTACGGCCACCTCGGTACTACGGTCGCCTCGTTACTACATTTTCTTTTCTTGTAAAAAAAAAACCTTAGTTAATACGGTCACCTGTTAATACGTCCAATTGTTTTAGCCCATTTGTACTCTCGGTCTCGATCTGTTTTTAAGCTTGGCCTTCCTGTGGTTTGATGAATATTTTAAAAAGTTCATGCTTTGTAAACAGATTATCATTTCTCAGAAATAAAGGTTATTTTTGGATTCTCTCAGGTCATCAAAACTTAACACCTCAAGACACCATTTGATTGGTTGCCAAAATATACTTTACGGTCTGGGTCAAAAGACAACATTTCTTTGTTGCGGTTTCTGAGAGTGCCAACCGACTACATCTCAGAGTATTTTAAAACTTAATTTGCTTTCGATCTTCTTCATGGATATAAAGACCTTGCTGGACAATCTTCATGATGAAGTATCCTGTTCTGTGTGCATGTGTACATTCACTGATCCAAAGCAGTTGCCTTGTTTGCACAGTTTCTGTCTTCACTGCCTGAACGGAATTCAACGAACGAGCGGCGTCCATGGCAAAATTACATGCCCTGAGTGTAGGAGACAGTTTCAAACCCCTGGAAGTGGAAATCCCAGCGAACTTCCCACTAATTTTCGTATCAACAGTTTGCTAGATGTCTTGGCAATAAAAGAGTGCAGCACAGCTAACGTAAAATGCGGAAATTGCAGCAAACGGAGCGTCCAGACCTTATATTGCTTCCAGTGTTGTTCTTTCTGGTGCGAGGAATGTGTTTTAGCACATAACATTATACGCACCAATAAAGAACACAGAACGCTGGCACTGAAAGATTTTCAAGATCAAGACATCGAGGCCGTGTTAAAGAGACCAGCATTTTGTCAGAAGAAACGACATGAAAACAAAGAGTTGGAGTTCTTTTGCAAGGACTGTAAAGTCGCCATTTGCAACACTTGTGTTGTAACACTTCATGAAGGTCATGGTAAGATGCTTTTGGAAGAAGCTACAGACGCGCGCAAGACTCAGATCAACTCCATGACTCAATCTTTAATAGAAAAAGCACAAGAAAAACGAAAAGACCTCGAGCGATTGAACCAAAAGAGCACGGACATTAAACTGCAAGTTGCCGACTTTAAAAGCCAGGTCCAGACACATGTAGATCAAGTTATTGCAATCATCGAAGCGAGGAAACAGGATGTTTTTGATGCAGTCGATAATCAAGCGAAAAAAGCTCTGGAATCTCTCTCAAAGAAAAAAGACCAAGTTGAAAATCAAGTGAAATTAATTGAATCGGCAATTGAACAAACTAAAGCTCTTGTGAAACGAAGCTTTAGTACTGAAATCCTTGGATTCAGTGAAACATTTGATGCAATCCTTCAGGAACAGGGTACCCAAGGAAACCGTGACACTGAATGTATTCCTCAGTTTAGTTTTACTAAAAGTGAAAAATTGATTAACGTGTTGAACAATGAAGGGATAGGTAATGTAAAAACTGTTTTAAACGAAACTAAAGTGAAACAATTAGGAGCTAAAGGTAAAGAAAATAGTAAACTAATTGCTGGGAATAAAGGGGCAAATGTTCGTGACAGTCCTCTTGAGACTCAGGAACAAACCAGGCGTTTCAGATTCTTGCTGTCATTTGGACAAAAAGGTGAGTCTGTTGGAATGCTTAACGACCCCTGGGGGCTGGCAGTGAATGATCATGATGAAATTGCTGTGGCAAACGGGAGTAACCACAGGGTTTCACTCTTCAGTAGTGACGGTACCCACTTAAGATCGTTTGGTAGAAGAGGTAGGAATAATGGCGAGTTCCAGAACCCTACAGGGATCGCTTTTGATAGTCTTGGCAATATTGTAGTGGCAGACTGTTTTAACCACAGGGTGCAAGTCTTTGATAGGAATGGTAACTTTCTTAGTAAGTTTGGTGAACAAGGAAGTCTTGATCACCAACTTAGTAAACCTGAAGGTTTATCAATAAACGGTAACGGTGATATTATTGTTGCTGATAACCGTAACAAATTAATCAAGATATTCTCTTCTAGAGGGAAGTATTTACGTAAATTTGGTGGAGCAGGTTCTTTGGTCAATCCCTATCACTGTATTCAACACGGTCAATATTTCATAGTCTCAGATTATGGTGATCATTCCATTAAAATGTTCGATCGTGAGGGAAAGTTTATTTCTAAATTTGGAAAACAGGGAAACAAGGATGGAGACTTGAATGAGCCCTGTTACTTGTCAGTCAGTAAAGAAGGTTTGCTAATCGTCTGTGATCAATGTAATCACAGAGTTCAGTTATTTGAACTGAGTGGAAAGTTTGTTACAAAATTTGGAAGTAAAGGTAGCGGGAGAGGAGAGTTTAGGAATCCATTTTCTACAGCAAATCTTAGTGATGGAAGAATAGTTGTGTGTGATATGAACAACAACCGAATCCAGGTATTTGAGAATACATGAAATAATCCAGCCTGCGAATACAACCGTCTTTCCTCGCTGCTCGTCGTTAAGGACCATTCGCGGGAAACGTCCGCTGCCGCGAAACTTTCTAATAGCAGCCAGGAGCGAGGATAGACAGCTTTATTCACAGCGGGCTAGAGATAACCGTACCTTTGATGGAGCAAGACTGGAGATTCATTTCACTATTATATATTGCTCATTAGATTCACAGTTCATGTTTCTGGAGGAAATCAGTTTTTGTGCGATTATCATTTTGTTTAGACATTTTGATAAGCCGAAATTGGTGTATTATGTTCTACTTGTAAATATATTTTATCCATAAATGATATGGATCAGTCCACTGTCGCGTAAAAATTGAGTTTACGCCGGCACCACCTTCCTTACATTGCCTCTATTTTATTTCCGGGCGTAAATACAATGCTTAGAAAGAAAAAACTGCAGCATATATTGAATTGATTAGTTCCAAAAAAAGCAATTAATTGAGATAATTTTCTCTTACATTGTAATCTCACATTATTACTAAATAAATTTGCAAATACTTCATATCTAGAAATATTATACTGTTTAATATTTACATTCATTTTTGAAAGTGTGATTTTTGAATGGGTCTAACCTGTTCAAAAGCGAGGACAGCCTGAGTTGTCAATTTTGTAAGTAAACGGCTTATTTTTACTTACCTTTTTTCAGTAGTAACAGACATACATATTTCTCAAAAAGCAAAATGCTATTCCATGTAAATAACTCAAGTGAATTATTTTTTGTCTAAATAAACAACAGTGTAAATGCTTTGTTCCTGGTATTTAATGTCTCCTAATAGTCAAAGGCGGATTTAGTGGGGGGAGTGGGGACGAGGAAGCCGCGACCCCTTTTTTCTTTAAAATTTTGTATCATTTTTATAGAATTCTCAGCTTATATAGCTGGAAATTGTCCCGGCCACTCCTTTCTAAATTTTCTGGATCCGCTTACCGCTTGGTAACCCGCAGTCCCAGACAAAGGTAGTTGGGAAAGTTGGGGAGCGATATAACAAAACAATTACGCGCACTAACATTTCAGTTTTTGCACAGCATTCGGCATAGACTGCAAAACAGTCGGGATTTTTTCTAGGTTTAGCGCAGTTAATTAGCGTATCTCTCCAGTCTCGCTCCCCGTTTTCAGCCCTATCTCGCGACTGGCGATAATTTATTATCTACACATTTTAAGATGCAAATTACGCAAGAACTTGTTTGACAGCTTCAGCCCTCGGCTTCGGCAAAGAATTGATCTGCTCGGCGCAGAAAATGACGATATTTTGCTCAACATCGTCAAATAATTGTTAAATATTTTTGTTTTTATTGTGTACGTGCAATTGAAAAACATGTTTTTAAACAACTCTATGGCGTTCTACCCTGTGTAAAACCAGTAGAGCAGGTTACTTTTCTTTTATCACACTCCACTCAGCAACAAGCTGAAATTGAACAAACAAGATTTCTTATTACTCTGTTTTGTGTAGCGAATTTAAGTTAGAGAATATTTACTCTGGACTAAATTTTTGCACCAAATATGTTTGGGGTGATTTTTTTTCGGGAGTTTATTTCTGCCGATAGCTCGCAAAATCGCAAAAATTAGAACGCAAAAATTTTTTGCAACTTCATGCAACAGGGTTTCTGAACTATGTAAGCTATGTTTATGTTAGCGGTACGGTTACTCGGCTCAGAACTCGGTTGATTCTTATATGCTCCGTCTTTATTTTATACTCACATGCTCCCATACCGCAAAGACTGACAAGTACCGCATGCTCGATCACTATGTGCCCTAATTGCGTAGAATGAAAGTTTACAACAGTCGACCAGACTCGACCAACTAACCACACCAACCAACTGGCGTTGTTCACTTTAAATTCGTGAATAGATTCACGAATTTAAAAAGACTCTCTTCGATGTCTTTGATTATATTAGTAACAACCAGAAGAAGTTAAGAGCAAGACGAAAATCAGAAGTACAGATATCTAATAAGCGTACGTCTTCTAGCAACGGATTTTAAGCTGTATATACTGATTGTAATGTACAATAACTCGGTCTCCGGACATAAGTGAATTCTAAAAACACTTTATGAGTAGTTCATACTTTCATAAGAATATTTTGGCTTCTTAGAAATACGTATAAGTCAAGGACCTCTGTTTGATCGGTTAAAACTGTAAAAAAAGGGTGACAATACAAAAATCCCGTTCTTTCTTTACCACGGCATATAACTAAGTTCGATCATCCGGACTGGCAAGTCCAACCTAGACAGTATTTCACCGATTGTTTTCGACCTTTTCCATGGATAAAAAGACCTTAACCGACAATCTTCATGATGAAGTATCCTGTTCTGTGTGTATGTGTACATTCACTGATCCAAAGCAGTTGCCTTAGTTTGCACAGCTTCTGTCTTCATTGCCTCAACGAATTAACGCGGAGCGGCGTCCATGGTAAAATCACATGCCCGGAATGCAGGCGAGACAGTTTCAAAACGGACGGTGATATAAAGGTCGAAATTGGGAGTTGTAATTGGTTTATTTACTTTCATAATTGTAAAATCTACCATATAGTGCTACGTATAAATGTCCAATAGGTTGTGACTAAAGTAAAACAAGAAACAAATAGTTAACGCATGTACAGTATTTTTTACGCATACTATATGCGGTGTTAGGATTTAAAGTGTTAAAGTCATCTTCAGTGTTCACCTCACAGTTTTCCTGTGGTTGTAATTCACCGAGCTGTCTTTGAATTTCTTCAAAAAAGAGAACTTGGTCGTTTGTCTTGTTTGGTGAATGAATATTAACAAAAACAAACAAATTTTGTTTGTTATATAGCCTTTATCAGTTGGTCGAAATAATCCCGCATTTATTGGGCTCCTGCTTACACGAACTTAACGTGTAGAGTCTCAGTGATGTAAAATATAATTTAATAGGTTTTATAAAACATTTCAGTGGGTTCTTGCTTTGTAAACAGATGACGATTCTCAGAAATATAGGATGTTTTTGGTTTCTTCAAAAGGAAGTCAGAAATCATAAATTCGTCAAGTAACTCCGTTTGATTGGTTGATGAAAGTAAAGTTCAGTCTGAGTCACAAGACAGTAATTCTTTCACTTTCCAAGAGCTGGGTATTTCAAAATTTAAATAGTTTTATTTAAACCATTTCCCTCCATGGATATAAAGACCTTGCTGGACAATCTTCATGATGAAGTGTCCTGTTCTGTGTGCATGTGTACATTCACTGATCCAAAGCAGTTGCCTTGTTTGCACAGTTTCTGTCTTCACTGCCTGAACAGAATTCAACGAACGAGCGGCGTCCATGGCAAAATTACATGCCCCGAGTGCAGGAGACAGTTTCAAATTCCTGGAAGTGGAAATCCCAGCGAACTTCCCACCAATTTTCGCATCAACAGTTTGCTAGATGTCTTGGCAATAAAAGAGTGCAGCACAGCTAACGTGAAATGCGGAAATTGCAACAAACGGAGTGCCCAGACCTTATGTTGCTTCCAGTGTTGTTCTTTCTGGTGCGAGGAATGTATTTTAGCACATAACATTATACGCATCAATAAAGAACACAGAACGCTGGCACTGATAGATTTTCAAGATCAGGACATCGAGGCCGTGTTAAAGAGACCGGCATTTTGTCAGAAGAAACGACATGAAAACAAAGAGTTGGAGTTCTTTTGCAAGGACTGTAAAGTCGCCATTTGCAACACTTGTGTTGTAACACTCCATGAAGGTCATGGTAAGATGCTTTTGGAAGAAGCTACAGACGCGCGCAAGACTCAGATCAACTCCATGACTCAATCTTTAAAAGAAAAAGCACAAGAAAAACGAAAAGACCTCGAGCAATTGAACCAAAAGCGCACGGACATTAAACTGCAAGTTGTCGACTTTAAAAGCCAAGTGCAGACACATGTGGATCAAGTTATTGCAATCATCCAAGCGAGGAAACAAGATGTTTTTGATACAGTCGATAATCAAGCGAAAAAATCACTGAAATCTCTCTCAGAGAAAAAAGATGAAGTTGAAAATCAAGTGAAATTAATTGAATCGGCAATTGAACAAACTAAAGCTCTTGTGAAACGAAGCTTTAGTGCTGAAATCCTTGGATTCAGTGAAACATTTGATACAATCCTTCAGGAACAGGGCACCCAAGGAAACCGTGACACTGAATGCATTCCTCGGTTTGGTTTTAATAAAAGTGAAAAACTGATTAACGAGTTGAACAGTGAAGGGATAGGTAAGGTAAAAATTGTTTTCAGCGAAACTAAAGCACAACAATCATTAGCTAAAGGTAAAGAAAGTAGTAAAGTAATTGGTGGGAATAAAGGGGCAAATGTTCGTGACAGTCCTTTTGAGACTCAGGTACAAAGCAGGAGTTACAGATCTGTGCTGTCATTTGAACAAAACGGTGAGTCTGTTGGAATGCTTAACTATCCCTGGGGGGTAGCAGTGAATGATCAGGATGAAATTGCTGTGACTGAACGCTGGAACCACAGTGTTTCAGTGTTTAGTAGTGACGGTACCCACTTAAGATCGTTTGGTAGACACGGTAATAATAATGGTGCGTTCCAGTGCCCTAGAGGGATCACTTTTGATAGTCATGGCAATATTGTAGTGGCAGACTCTGGTAACCACAGGGTGCAAGTCTTTGATAGGAATGGTAACTTTCTTAGTAAGTTTGCTGAACAAGGAAGTCTTGATAATCAGCTTAAATGCCCTCACGGCTTATCAATAAACGGTAACGGTGATATCATTGTTGCTGATACCGGTAACCAATTAATCAAGATATTCTCCTCTAGTCGCAACTATTTGCGTAAGTTTGGTGGAGCAGGTTCTTTGGTCTACCCCTACCACTGTATCCAACACGGTCAATATTTTATAGTCTCTGATGCCGGTGATCATTCCATCAAGATGTTTGATTTTGAGGGAAAATTTATTTCTAAATTTGCAAAACATGGGAACAAGGATGGAGATTTCAATCAGCTCCGTTTCTTGTCAGTTAGCAAAGAAGGATTGCTAATGGTCTGTGATTCACAAAATCACAGAGTTCAAGTATTTGAACTGAGTGGAAAGTTTGTTACAAAATTTGGAAGTGAAGGTAGCGGGAGAGGAGAGTTGAAGAATCCATTTTCTACAGCAATTCTTAGTGATGGAAGAATAGTTGTGTGTGAATTTAATAACAATCGAATCCAGGTATTTGAGCATACATGAAATAATCTATAACCTGCGAATACAACCGTCTTTCCTCGCTCCTCGTCGTTATAGGGACCTTTCGCGGAAAACATCTCTGCCGCAAAACTTCGTAAGAGCAGCTATGAGCGAGGAGGGTCATGATCAGCTGTATTCGCAGAGGGCTACAAATAATCCTACCTTTGAGATTTAGTTCACTATTATATATTCTGATCATTAATCAGCACCATTCATGTTTCGGGAGGAAATCCATTTTGTGCGATTATTTTGTTTAGACATTTTGATATGCTGAAATAGGTGTTTTATGTTCAACTTGTAGATATATTTTGCCCCATAAATGGTATGGATTTCCACTGTCGCGTAAAAGTTGAGTTTTCGCCGGCGCGACCATCCTTACATTGCTTCTATGTTATTTACGCCGTAAATGCAATACTTGGAAAAAAACTGCAATAGATTGACTAGATCCACAGTTTATTATTATGAAAAAAAAAAAATCTGTTACATTTTAAGCTCACATTGTTACTAGTTTGCAATTATTTATCTTCGAACCCTGTTCAATATTTAGATACATTTTTGAAAGTGTGTTTTTTGAATGGGTTGTTATCTGTTCAATAGCGAGGACAACCTGATTGGCTCATAATTTTTTAACTACAAGGCTTATTTTTACTTAGCTTTTTCCAGTAGTAACAGACGTACATATTTCTCAAAAAAACAAAATACTATTCCCTTTGTTAATAACTCAAGTGGATTATGTTTTGTCTAAATAAACAACAGTGTTAGTAAATGCTTTGTTCCTTGTATTCAATGTCTCCTAATCAAGGGGGGATTTAGGGGTGGCCGAGGGGGCCGCGGTCACCACTTTTTCTTTGAAATATGGAATTTTTTTTTTTATAGAATTCTCAGCAAAATAAAAAGGAGCTTTAAGTAGGCAATTGTACCGGCATCCCTTTTCTGAATTTTCTGGATCCGCCCCTTAAAATGTGTGCAATAACGTGCGACGGAAAGTCGACAACGCCACTTAACAGTCTTGCTTCTTGGGTTTCGCGCTTAAGAGAAATATTACAGAAAAAACTTAGCAGTGACGATGGAAATTGGTGAGGGCCGACTGTCCCCGCATTTTGTCTCATGAATGTGCCACCCTTGCTCTCCTAGATACCTTTTCAAAGGGGGTTACAAGAAAAGACCTTTGAGACTTTTCGTCGAGTTGAAATTTATATTGCGGCCGATTTAAGACGAAATCCACACCAAACTCCAGACACGTATAATTATTCCAAGTTCTTTAGTGCGGCTTGTGCGCTTTGGCATTTTCACTTTGTAACCTGCAATAAAGAAGTTGGGAAGGTTTGGGATATAACATGCGCACAAACACTTTAGTCTTGTACAGCATTGGGCATCCTGCAAAAAAGTCGGATTTGTTTTTCTCAAAATCGGTTGTGCACTCGGTTTAGCGAAGTTTTAGCTTTTCTCCCCAGTCTCGCCCTACATGTTCAGCCTGGCTCTAGACCTTTTTTTTGACTGCCTGCCCTGCGTACTTGAGTACGCAAAAATAACGTGACTGTTTTGCAGTCTTCATTGGGCAAGGGACAGAAGAAATAAGGAAAAAAGAGTTAAAAAATAGTATCCTCTCTACACACTTTGACGATTGTCCCACCGAGAGTTTCAGTTGCACCCAACATTCCTTTTTAAGCTCGCTATCAAATAAATGCAGTCTTATACATGCCTTGAAACTGAAGTGGAAAGGTATTCGACTCTTTGTTTATTATGATCGAGAATTTGTAAGACAAGAGATGAAGCAAATGAACCAATTAGAGTCAGGGAATTAACCGAAACTATTTCATGGTTGCAGGTTTTATTGCGATAATTGTTCTAATTGAAGCTGCTGTTTTGTTGTAATTAAGAAAACAGGAGTTAAAATGATATATTACGTCAAGAGCGTAAAAAAGTGTAATCGGCCAAAGCATCTTCTATCGCATCCCTTCTCCTAGCAGTCTACAAGTTCGTGCGCGAGGGAAGACTTGCCCTCACTTATAGTGTCGTTTCTCGTAGGCTCAATTTTTAACAACAAAAACATCAACATCGATAACGTTTTTTCAAGTTGAAAATAATTTATGACCGTGTTACACTATTAACTGACAACTGTTAACCTCGTCCTCAGAACTGTTGGTCATTTCACACCCTAAAAACAGGTAATGAATCACCATCGTGACGGTTATGAATCCATTACCTGAAAACAGGGCCTGGAAGGGTATTTTCGGGATCCAGAATTTGACCAAAATACGGTGCAGGATTCAGGAAAACCCAAAATATCTTGGCAGGAAACGGGATTTGACTGCTACCCGGGAAGCGGACTTCACCGAAATTTAGGGCGCGGGATTTGGGATTTTATTCCCTCTCTGTCGGGAACGGGAAGTCATGACGACTCAAATACGCGTTCTAGCTTCCCCTCTCGTTCTCTTCTAGCTCCATTTTCAGGCTATTTTATCGCCCTAACCACCCTACCCTTCCACAAAAAGAACCGTGTTCATAGGCTGGCTATTACATTCAAGAAAAGCGAGTAAACATTAACCTCTTGCATCATGGATGAGGATAGAGATCGCACGAGGTTTTAGGTTATCGCGTACATCCCGGTATAATTTACTGACTACCTAGTTAAAGTTGTTGTCCTAGTGTAATTTAAACCCAGTCCCAACTGTTCGTGGTAACACCCTACAAAGGCGTCAAACAATTTTTAAAAAGAAGTGAACAGTCACTCTCGAAAACTGTGACATGGTTTGAAATATTGCCACTTTAATTTCTGACACGTGATTCTTCTTCTCTCTTTGTTCATCTACGTGATAAAGACGTGATAAACAGTCGTTAATAAACGCGCCTTAAAAGCCTGAAGCAAAACCAAGAAACAAATAATCACACACAAAAAAAACGATGAAGATAAACTTAAAAGAGAAATTTAATGTACATTTCGCTCTTTTAATAGGAAGAATAAAATAAATCGATTCGCGTGCGACATCTTGCAATTGGTGCTAAATTCATATGAATGATAACTTTGTCAGTTTAAGTAGGCTAACTTAATTTGCCTACTCTGGATCTCGATCTGATAGTAAGCTTGGGCTACCTGTGGCTTTATAAATATTTCAAAAAGTTTATGCTTTGTAAACAGATTATCAGTTCTCAGAAATAATGATTATTTTTGGATTCTTCATGTCGTCAAAACTTAAAACATGTCAAGACACTATTTGATCGATGGCCCAAACAAAGTTTAGTCTGGGCCAAAAGACAAGACCTCTTTGGCGGTTTCTGAGAACACCAACCGACTGCACCTCGGAGTATTTCCAGACTTAATTTGTGTCCCACTTTTTCCATGGATTTAAAGACCTTGCTGGACAACCTTCATGATGAAGTATCCTGTTCTGTGTGCATGTTCCCATTCTGGAGTATGTAATTTGAACAGTATCAGGGATGACTTGGCCGAAGGTTGATTAATGTATTTCCTCGAGACACAGGGATTAACTACCACACATGCACAATCCTGGACAAAATAGACGAAAAAATTAATGCGTCCACCCTCCTGTAAAATAAAGGATGAGGTTGGGGATATAATGGCGCGTTTTGGCTTTCGCATGGCTTTTTGCTCCTGATCATTGAGCCCGGGTCTTTGAGGCAACGGGGAATTGATTTCCCAGTGTCCAAGGATTTTTAAATCCCGTGTCGGTAACGGTGTTGAGGGTACACAAATATTCAAACAATTTCAGTGGTCCATGCTTTAGCCTGCCTAGCGAACGTTTCCAAATGAATTAGAGAGAGAGCTCTTTCATTCCTCTTTTCTGCTCTCGCTCAGACTTTCTTGACGACCTCGCGTGGAAACTATTGCCGCAGGCAGGTTATCCATGCTTCAAAGAACTGATTTAAAATTCTCGGAAATACAGAATGTTTTTTATTCTTCCGTCAAACCATCAAAACATGTCAAGAAACGCTATTTGATTGGTTAATGATACAGAGTTAATTAAGTCTGGGTGACAAGACAAAACTTCATTGTTCCTTTTCAAAGCCATTCCCTAAATCGTCAACAACTAGGCCGAAATTTTTGAAAAGTAACCTTGTTTCCGACCTTTCCATGGATATAAAGACCTTGCTGGACAATCTTCATGATGAAGTATCCTGTTCAGTGTGCAAGTGCGCATTCACTGATCCTAAACAGTTGCCTTGTTTGCACAGTTTCTGTCTTCATTGCCTGAACGGAATTCAACGAACGAGCGGCGTCCATGGCAAAATTACATGCCCCGAGTGCAGGAGACAGTTTCAAATCCCTGGAAGTGGAAATCCTAGCGAACTTCCCACCAATTTTCGTATCAACAATTTGCTAGATGTCTTGGCAATAAAAGAATGCAATACAACTAACGTGAAATGTGGAAACTGCGACAAGCGGAGCGCCCAGACCTTATATTGCTTCCAGTGTTGTTCTTTCTGGTGCAAGGAATGTATCTTAGGACATAACATGATACGCATCAATAAAGAACACTATTCTGATCCCTCAAACCTTGATCCATTTTCCGGAGAAAATCATAAGACGTAGGTCCTTCTTCAGAAGTGTAACCAGTTTTAATGAAAGCAAAAATTCACGGTGAAACGAGAAAGCGTTTTCACCGGCGAGCACAATGTGACAAAATGCAAAAATCAAAACAAGCTAGCTCTCACGTGATCCTATGACCTATGACGTCTAAGCTATGTTACATAACAAGGAAAACGTGACATGAGAAGGGAAACGCGTGACAGAACACTCCCCGTCTGGTATTTCAAAAAATGCCACTATAGAAGAAAACGAACAGTAACTTTTCTGAAAACAAAGTCATAAGCTTGTAACAACGTTATAAGTATAATCTCCAGCACTAGCTGAGACAGTTCATCCAACTGAGGTTTCCATCTTCTTGAAATCCCTCTCACTTCTGAGCAGAATAACTTCATTCACTGGTCTTGTATAGGTCCTAGCGGGTCCACCTTTGGCTGTCACTAGCTCCACCTTACGCACTTTGCCATCTGCACTGACATGGGCTCGGGTTATCCGAGCAAGGGGCCAGCAATTTCTGGGGAGATCCTTAGAGCAGAGGAGGACCAGGTCTCCTTCCTGAAGGTTCTTTACTTCTTGCTGCCACTTTCTTCTTGGCTGGAGCGTTGGCAGAAACTCCCTGCGCCATCGGGCCCAGAAAACATTCGCCAGATGCTGGACTTGTCTCCACTGCTTACTGTATAGTTCTTGTTGAGTGAAATTTCCTGGCATCGCCTTCAGGCTTTCAGACTTTTGTGTGAGTAGGGTGGCAGGTGTGAGAATCTCTGGCATGTCTGGGTCCGACGGAACTGGTATTAGGGGTCTGGCATTCACTGGTTTGTTGTCGTCCTTCGTTCGTACAAAGACATCTTCTCCCAGTCCATCTTCAGACCTCCTTTTAAAGTTTCCCTCCTTCAGGTCGTCTATGGATTCCGCAGTCGGATGGTGTTTGACGTACAAGCGGTTACTGCAGGGTAGTAGAAGAGAGGGTCTACCATTATCAAGAACTTGTGTTCTGAAACATGAAGCCTCACTTGGCTTGTGGGCACCATCTAAGCATGCATTTCCTAAGACTACCCATCCTAGGTCAAGGCGTTGAGCCCAAGGTGCATCCCTGGGCCCGTTTCGGGACTCGTGGATTTTGTGAAGGGGCGGTGCATCTCTTCCAATAAGCAGAAGAATATCAGCCTTTGGGTCTAGCTCTGGGATCTTGTCTGCGATGGGGTCGAGGTGGGGGTATGCTCTAGCGACCGAAGGACTAGGAATTTCCTCTCTGCTATCCGGGATTGCATCACATTCAGTAAGGACTGGAAGCGCATAAGAGTACGCATTGTCTAAAGACTCAATGATGAGGTTGCGTGCACGTCTCCCTGTAACTTGGCTTGTCCCTGAGCACGTTCTCAGCGTGTACGATGTAGTTGCTCCTTCCAATTTCAACAAGTCAAAGAGCTTAGGCTTGGCTAGGGAACAGTTACTCTGATCGTCAATGACCACGTACACCTTGACCTTGTCTTTAGGATGCCCATTTTTGTAAACGTAGGCTGGGCAGATCTTTGAACAGGATTTTCCCCCAACTGCATTTCCACACAGTTCTGTACAGTTGGCTGTGACCTTAGCTGGCTCCCCGCCTTGCTGAAGGGCGTCTTCGGGCTCTCTGGTTTGTGTTTCTTGTTCACTTGGAGGGTCAATGTGTAATGCTGCAACATGTTTATCACTTTGGCATTCGGCACATTTTATTACTGCTGTACAGTCTTTGGCTTGGTGGCTAGTTGAAGCAAGACAGCGAAAACATATTCGGTACTGGCTAAGTAAGTCCTTCCTTTCGGTGAGGGACATGGCTCTGAAGGCGCGCACTTGCCAATGGGGTGAGATAGTTTGTGGACGACACACCATTTGTCTGGATCCCGTGCAGAAAAGTGAAGGTGTGGAGGACCTGAAACCTCAGTTTTGTAAGCCGATAGGCCTTGTCCCGACGGGGAGATCGTGTTAGACTTGACATGAGGCTTGGCTGAGTGTGAGCTCTTCTTGCCAGGGTCCTCAATCATAAGGTAGGGGTCGTTGCGTTCCCGTGCAATTTCTTCGATAAATGATGCGAACTCAATGAATGGAGGATATTCTACTTCATGCTGACGTTTGTAGCGGTACGCATGTCTTTGCCATCTTGCCTGGAGATCTTCAGGTAGCTTGACAAGGACTGGTTTCAGAAAGGCTGGCTCGTCAAGAATTTTTAGGCCGGTAAGTCCGCCATCTTCTTTCGCACATTTCAATTCCAAGAGGAGATCCCCTAGTTCTTGCAGACCTTTGTTGTCTTTGGCATTCAGTGATGGGAATGCAGTTAGCTTGTCCAGGTGTACTTGGGTGACGACAGCTGTTGAGCCAAAACGTTCCCCTAACTTCCTCCAACATTCTTTGACTCCCTCGGTCGGGTTCTCTATATATGCATTTCGTAAACGCTGAATGAGTCTCTTAGAGTCACCAGTAGCATGCTCCGCCATGAGAGCAAGCTCTTCGCTTGGCGAAATGTTTACCTCTCTTATCATGTTCTTGAAGGCTGCTTTCCAAGTATTGAAGTTTTCAGGGGAGCTGTCAAATTTCTCTATTTTGTTAGCAATGAGCTCCCTTCTGGAGAGAAACTGAACGAAACCTTCCATGCGGTCAGTAGGGTTAGGATTGAAGGGCGGTGCTCCCGGATCGAGCTCTTTCGCAAAGCAGGGCTTCTCTTCCTTGACTGGGAAGCCACGGGCGGAGAGGTTCTTTGCTTCAAGGTTACGGTCATGATGATCTTCATACGGTTTTAAGCCTTCAAAATGACTGTCAATGAATTGCTGAACACGCTTATTGGAATCTTCGATTGGTAAATCTATTGTCTGAAAATCAAGGGTCAATCCAAGTTCCTCGTCAATAGCTTTTGCGCGGGCGACGGCAACAGCTGCTTCCTGTTCTGCGCGTAGGGACTCCAAGCGTGCTTCTTCCTCTCGTTTTCTCCTAGCAAATGCCAACTCATCTTCTCGTCTCTTCCTTTCTTCTTGTTCTAACGCCAGCGCGGACTTGGTTTGAAATTCGGAAATTTTCCTTTGCATTTCGGCCTTTTTTAGTGCCGCGGCCGCCTCGCCTTTCGCATGGGCCCGTAGTGCGTTCGAGGAAACGGACGACTTGGAAGCACGTGACCCAGATCGAAAGGATCCTAATTCCAGTAAGAGGTCATTTTTTCGGTCCAACCCTTCGTTAATCGCTGCCTGGACCAGTTCCTTCCGAGTTCTCATCATTGCTTCGACTGTTTGTCTCTCTTCCTGATGTTCCGGCAAGCTAGCGTGCACTGTAAAATCCATTAATGAAATCCACGCAAGTTCATAATCACTGAACGACGAACGCAAGTCTCCTACGGCCTTACGTAAGGCTTCCACAGAATCTGGAGTTTCTTTGAGCTTGGAAATCGCTTGACTAGTTCTTTCCCATATTTTTTCAAGTTTCAGTGAGTCAGACTGCAGTCTGTTTTCGATCAACTTCGCGGTGGGCTTCGAGAGTCGTTTTGCTCGCGTGGATTCTGAATGCTTGGCGTTATCTTCGACGACTGTGTTTTCGAGCGAAAACAAACCCATTTCCACTCTCTCGGGGCCTTCCTTTGAGCTCCCATGCTTGGTTACCTTTGTAACGGGCGAATTTGAAGGAGCCTCTTCCAACTGGCTCGATGAACCGTGTTTTTGAGTTTCGCCTGGGTGCTTGAGCGTCAAATCCACGAGGTTGTCTGGCTCGGTGTGATCGGCCGGCGATAAATCTCTCGTTTCACTATTCTGATCCCTCAAACCTTGATCCATTTTCCGGAGAAAATCATAAGACGTAGGTCCTTCTTCAGAAGTGTAACCAGTTTTAATGAAAGCAAAAATTCACGGTGAAACGAGAAAGCGTTTTCACCGGCGAGCACAATGTGACAAAATGCAAAAATCAAAACAAGCTAGCTCTCACGTGATCCTATGACCTATGACGTCTAAGCTATGTTACATAACAAGGAAAACGTGACATGAGAAGGGAAACGCGTGACAGAACAAACACAGAACGCTGGCACTGAAAGATTCTCAAGATCAAGACATCGAGGCCGTGTTAAAGAGACCGGCATTTTGTCAGAAGAAACGACATGAAAAAGAAGAGTTGAGATTCTTTTGTAAGGACTGTGAGGTCGCCATTTGCGACACTTGTGCTGTAACACTCCATGAAGGTCACGGAAAGATGCTTTTGGAAGAAGCTGCAGAAGCGCGCAAGACTGAGATCAAATCCATGACTCAATCTTTAAAAGAAAAAGCACGAGAAAAACGAAAAGAACTCGAGCAATTGAACCAAAAGAGCGAGGAGATTAAACTGCAAGCAGCCTACTTAAAAAGCCAAGTGCAGACGAATGTAGATCAGGTTATTGCAATCATCGAAGCGTGGAAACAGGATGTTTTTAATGCAGTCGATTTTCAAGCGAAAAATATCACCGGAATCTCTCTCACAGAAAAAAGACCAAGTTGAAAATCAAGTAAATATTATTGAATCAGCTATTGAACAAACTTAGTTCTGAAATCCTTGGATTCAGTGAAACATTTGATATAATCTTGCAGGAAGAGGGAACCCAAGGAAACCGTGACACTGAATGTATTCCTTGGTTTAGTTTCACTAAAAGTGAAAAACTGATTAACGAGTTGAACAGTGAAGGGATATGAAATATAAAAACTGTTTTAAGCGAAACTAAAATTCAACAATTAGGAGCTAAAGGTAAAGAAAGTAGTTAAGTAATTGTCCGCAATAAAAAGGGGCAAATGTTCGTGACAGTCCTCTTGAGACTCAGGTACAAACCAGGAGTTTCAGATCTGTGCTGTCATTTGGACAAGAAGGTGAGTCTTTTGGAATGCTTGCAGGGCTCTGTGGTGTGGCAGTGAATGATCAGGATGAAATTGCTGTTACTGAGTGTGGTAACCACGGGGTTTCAGTGTTTAGTAGTG